ATCGGGGAGGGAAGAGACGATGCCAGGGTGGGAAGAGACGATGTCGGGAAGGATCATTACACTGCCAACATTTCAACCATTATTACAGCATCACACGTTCGAAAAAAGGTAACCAATCAACGCAGGAAAAAATGTTCAAGTCAGCGCTAACGCCTCCTGGTATCGGAGAAGGTGTAGCCCCGAACCAGGCTACCGCGATTACGCAGTAATTCAACACAAATTCGTAAACAACGATGCAAGTCAATGACTTGCTATACGCTGTTAAACGTATAAGAACTTTTAAAATCGAAAAGATCTTAGCACAAAGGCTAGAAGCTGATTTTAGTAGCAGAAATCAGCCGGGGGTAAACCTTTAAATTCGCCATTGTGGGCGGCTAATATCACCTGATATCGCCCCAACAAAACCCTAGGCGCAGATGATATTCTACAAGGTATTAATGAGGAACAATTCTTCGTGCTGTGTATATGAGGAGCGAAGGTGACCTCCGATGACCCTGACCAACTGAGTGACCAAACACTCCTATCGTACTGAGATAGTAACTGAGATAATCTATGCGGAGGTTTGTATGGACCGCATATGTGAATGGTCGATGACGTCGCTTCGTTCTTCAGCCAATTAATGATGTCCCCACTCCCCTCCACACTTCGTGAGTAGAGTCCTTCTCCCATTTGAGAGTCCTCAATTCCATTGAATTGATGGGGCCCCGTTGTAGGATCGTGGGACCTCTGGCTCTGGAGAAGTGTGTTACCGGCATCTCTGGACGGGGCTCGGGCCGATCTTCGCCGCCCCAGGGCCCTCCTTGCTTGCTACACAGTTTAGAGAAGACTACCGTTGCACCGTTGGGCGGAGTTCCGGACTACGAAGCAAGTCCTTAAACGATTAACACTCTCCGTCAATACCCCGTCGTTGAGGAGTGGGGCCCACTTGAAGCGCGAGGTGGAGGGCCGTAGTCATCCGTAACGATGCCGTAGGGGCTTCGGATGCGTGAGGGATGCTCGGAACGACATACATAGCCTGTTCGATTCGGACGCCGTAGTGGCGGACGGAATGAAGCACGCTCTTAGGCGGTTGTAAGCAACAGCCGCACAAGGGGTGTTTCGGATCGACCCCGTCCGCCAAACATTCCATTTTCAAGCCCGTCGAAGTAAGACGTTGTTTGAATTGAACCACAACTCCTGCTGGTGAGCAGACTATCACTCCGGCTGGTGAGTAGCCTACGCCCCCTCGTGAAGAGACGACCACGTGAGCAGACGACCACTCCCGCTTGTGAGCACATTACAACTCTTGCTAGTGAGCAGACTATCACTCCCCCTGTAGCGACTGCTGGAGCTCCGGAGACGGCCACGCCCGCTGGTGAACAGACGACCACGGCCGCTGGTGAGCAGACTATCACTCCCGCTGTAGCGACTGCTGGAGCTCCGGAGACGACCACGGCCGCTGGTGAACAGACGACCACAGCCGCTGGTGAGCAGACTATCACTCCCGCTGTAGCGACTGCTGGGGCTCCGGAGACGGCCACGCCCGCTGGTGAACAGACGACCACGGCCGCTGGTGAGCAGGCCATCGCTCCCGCTGTAGCGACTGCTGGAGCTCCGAAGACGGCCACGCCTGCTGCAGAGCAGACGACCACGCAAGCTACTACTACCGTTGGGACTCCTGAAGCTGTCACGACGGCTGGAAGCCACCGTTCCCGCAAGTGAGCGACCGCGGAAAAACAGACAGTGAGCGTGGCTGCGGAGGAGTTCACCTTCGACATCCACTCGCATAATTTCTATCCAACCGACTGTGCCCCACACCATAGCTCCCGTGGAGCCTCCCAGTGATCAGAATACTACCGTCATTGGTTTGGCCGCCGCGGGAGGGAGCATGGCGGGCGGTGCTTGATGCTGCGGCGTATGCTGGAGTTCAGTCTGGTGTTTTCTCCAGTACGGTCGGGGGTGGATAGTTCGTCGGTGGAGATCGCGTGGAAAGAAGAATTATCGTTCAACAGGGGTGGTAAGGTCGATAGTCGAAGTGAAGAAAATGGCCCCACAATGTCTTTGAATGCCCCAGCCAGTCGTTGTTCTTTTCTTTTCTTCCACCAGCTGAGTGGGGCTGGCTGGACTCAGCCTTTCCCCCCTTGCGTACATCCCGATTGTGAGGAGAACGTCCCGATAACTACGAACAACCACACACTACAACCCAAACGAGTGCCCATAGAAAACGAGCGCTGCCATACGAATTGTGGAGAAAGTGGTGGACAACTTTATAGCAGTGAAACACAAAGCGGGGAAGCCAGGGCGATAGTGCAGAAACGATGGTGTTGATGTTACCGCTCTTTATCTCTCATAAAGATTTAGGCACCAGTCCTTGTATTGAAGATTCAATACTCCTTAAATGAGAGCTAGCATTGAGCGGGGTAGAAAGGAGGGCTGAGGCACTCAACTTTCATTTTGTTGTACGTTCGCTCCTTTAAAGTTACCGCAAGCGATGAAAGTCATCACAACAGAACCCCGAGAAGGATAAGATGAGTTGCTCCACACACACGTGTGTTACTCAACAAATCACGAACGATGGCCGTTTATCAGAGAGATTCCTACGTATAGATTCTTTCAGCACAAGCTTCTCTGAATTCAAATCATTCGTCTCCATCATATCGTGAATATCATAACGTGAAATGTGTGGGGATCCTACCTCCACACACATTCCACTTGTGCCATACAGTGTTTACAACGATGGATGGCATTCATCAGGACTGACTCTGAGTCATATCTGTCGGCAATGTATCATTACGCAGACTGTCGCGATAATTAGTCATCATTACAAGCCATCGTTGCTTACGGTTGGTGTACACTCCAAGACAGGTGACGCTGGTTTTTTTTTTTTAAAGTGTCGGGACTCAAGCAGAATTTCTACAGGTTGTTTGGTCTCATGGTTCTACCAATAGGCTTCAATATAGCCGCTTTAAGGTAAGTAAGTTAAGCTCTATTAAAGGGCAGACGGCGGTCGTAAAACCCTGGGCTATCACCTGTTCTGTTTAATGGAAAACGAGGGCTGAATGTACTGCACAGGTCAGACATCTAAGGGTGGACATGACACAGTCATTGAGCGACAACTAGTACGTTGGCATACTCTAAGAAGCACTGCGAATGCGGGTCAATGATTGTCATCATTCAGTATGTACAAGCCGGCAGCTATCCAGCAATCAAACCGACTCCTTATACTTTTCAAACGTAGGAGGGCTGGACAGGTTTACATTATGCAAGAAGAGTTGTTTGGTCATATGGCCCCGAGAGTCCACATGACAGGTCCTCCCAGGTTCCTTCCAGACCCAGTTTAGTCTGCGAGGAAACCGGCGGTTGTACTGAATGACATGACAATCGTCAACCGTGGCATTTGTTCCTCGCGTGTAAATCAGAGATTGTACAAACGTCTTCAGTTTAGTCTGACGC